GCAGTTACTGTATTTCCCCCTAATACATTATTGGTATTAAGCTGTTCATTATAAAGAAATTGTCTTTGGACAATATCCAGGGCTCAGAATGAATGTATAGTTCTGTGTGTATTTTGAAGGTTGCTTTCAAGAATAAGATTGTATTTATTCTTGCCCTAGTGTTGGTTCCATGAACGCATCTCTTAACAAAACTTCAAATGCAGGGGAGCTTCAGAAAAAGTGAGGATGATACCCATGGCCATGTGAGAGAAAACCTGCCCCTTTTTACACACACACACACGTGCAGATAGCCCCAAATGTCAGCCTGGTCTGGACCCATCACATTAAGCCCAAAAGCCAACATACAAAGCAACGCTGACAGAGATGAGTGTCCCAAACCCCATTGGCCTGCCATGAATGTGAGGAATAGTGGAGATCGTAAGTGTGAAGATGTGGTCCCTGGCCTTTCAGGACCTTCTAGGTCATCCCATTCATTGTGCAAAGCTGCACTTGGTGTAACAATTGTGGAGTGAGGCACAATTTGCAGATTTGCACCTCGCTTGTACCAGATTTGAAACAGGAGGTGGTTTAAGTATATATAAGAGCTTTAGCAGACCAGATTCATAGGTGCCGAAGGTGATCTTGGAGGCAACGATCATCTTCAGATCCATCTTCACCTCATTTCTAGAACGTTTGGACTCAGTTACGATCAAGAAGCCCTGTGCCATTCAGTAATCGCACAGAAGCGCTAGGCAGTGGCATTTGGATCCAGTTTCTCCACTGATTTTCTGCCAGAGTCATTGCTTCCTGAAAACTACAAGCTTTCACTTCTGAAAAACAAAGTTTCTAGCTCCGTTGGCAGGAGAGGAGCCTGTCGCATTACACGACACAGGAGAGCTGGATGACTCTGGTTTCCATTGCATTCTTCCACACCTCTCCCACGACCAGCAAAATGAGCGATGCCTTAAAAGAAAAATTGCAGAACAAATGATGCAAAGTAAGGGAGACTGTGGAGAGACGTTCAGCTGGAAAGGGACGTGTGAGGTTTCTTTGGCAAGGAATTTAGGTTGCCTGGCAGCAGAATTTTGTTTTAATTTAATCTGCTGAGCTGTCATGCACTGGCCCTTTCTGTCCCAGGGCTGGCCACGGCTTCCATGAACGCTTCCTTCAATGCCACTCTTCTTCTCCCCGGCCCCACGCCGTGTCCGGATCTTGCATTTCCTGACTGCTGTTTCTAGCTGGCTGGCCCAGCTGGTCCCAAATCTGCCAAGTTTGCTTTATTATGTCAACAGCATTTCCGGCTTTACGCTAAGCAGGGCCTGGGCGAGATGAGCCCATGACTCAGAGGGTGACTCACCCCCCAAGCTCGCGAGGGCAAGATGTAGCCAGTGCGGACATGCCCGGGAGAAGCACGGGTCAACGAGGCAGCTCACGTCAGGAAGAAGATTCATGGAGCTGCAATGTTTGGTGCAACACAGGATGAACGCATTTCTGGTGCGGCTGTGCCAAAGTCCTAGTTCACCCCAGGGAAAGGGAAGAGCAGCAGCTTCCTTCGCCAGGTTGCGCCACCTCCGTCAGAAGCCACCGGCACAACTCTTCCCTCTCCTTCCCTCCCGGGTGAGAGTTTTCTGTTCTCCACCCAGGAGCGGCTGTGGCCCCCACCAAGAATGAAACAAAGTGGGAAGGACACGTCCTCCCTGCTTTGGAAATTCTCCTCTCTGCAATGGCCCTGGCATTCTTAGAGCAACCAACGGGCCTTCGGAGCGTCGCGTTGGAGGCCCCGTCATTCCTCCTTGCCATCATCCTGCAGGGTGGTCGGGGGCGTTCCCCCCGCTGAACCCAGATCGATGCGGGAAGGTTTGTCCAAGGCAGAGATTGGGAGGGGTCACCAGAGCTCCCCAACTCGTTCCCAAACTGTCATTTCTAATACAACCCAAGGGGAAAAGGCTAAACAGATGGAACAGAAGACAG